AAGCAATTTCTCATTCATTCACCTGCATATTGTGGACTGGCCTAATAACAACAACAAAAAACATTTGTATAGTGCCTTTCATGTCGGGAGGATATCCCAAGGTGCTGGATAGTCAGAGATTTGGACGCGAGTAGGGTTTCAATCCCTAACCGCTGCCTTGGAGTCCTCTGAACTCCTCTCCCTCTGGCCTTCAACCCTCACCGACCCCTCTTCTGCTCTCACCCTCCTCCACAACACCCTCTCCTCCACACTTGACACTCTTGCCCCTATCACCTCCCGTACTGTCTCCTACTCTCGCTCCTCCCCCTGGTTCACCACCCACCTCCGCTCACTGAAGAGCCAGGTGCGGGCCGCTGAACGCACCTGGGTCAAATCTGGCCTAACAGTCCACCGACAAATCTGGCTGGACCTCCTCAAAATCTACCGCTCCACTCTAGCCTCGGCCAAATCGTCCTTCTACTCCAGGATAATCCTGGAGGCGAAGGACAACCCCAGGCTACTGTTCTCTACCACATCCCAACTCCTCCGTCCCCCCCGCCACCCCGCGCAGGTCATCTCCTCCAACCTTCACTGCGAGGAGATGCTGGATTTCCTTGAATCCAAGATCAAGGGAATCCGCTCCGCGGTCACTTCCCCTCCAACATCCACCCACCACCCACCCCTTCCCTCCCACACTCCGACTCCTACCCATCCTCCCCTACACACCTTCGTACCCGTTTCCCCATCCTCCGTCACCAAACTCATCCTCTCCCTGAAACCTACCACCTGCTCCCTTGACACCATCCCAACTCCACTCCTTATCTCTCAGCTCCACCTCCTTGCCCCACATATCACAGACATCGTCAACCTGTCCCTCTCCTCTGGCTCTATTCCCATTCCCTTAAAAACTGCCACCATCACTCCCACCTTAAAAAAACCCTCCCTTGATGCGTCGCAGCTATCAAGCTACCGGCCCATCTCCAACCTCCCCTTCCTATCCAAGGTCCTGGAACGAGTTGTCGCCTCCCAGCTGCGCTCTTTCCTCTCCAACCATTCACTATTCGAACCCCTTCAGTCGGGTTTCCGTGCTGCCCATAGCACAGAAACTGCCCTGGTCAAGGTCACCAATGACATCCTGACCATCTGTGACCAGGGCTCCCTCTGCCTCCTCGTCCTCCTCGACCTATCGGCAGCATTCGATACGGTCGACCATGCTATCCTCCTCCACCGCTTGTCCTCCCACCTAAACCTTCAAGGCCCTGTCCTTGAGTGGTTTAGGTCGTACCTCTCCCACCGTCTTCACTTTGTCTCCACAAATGGTTTTTCCTCCGGCCCCCGCACTGTCTCGTGTGGTGTCCCTCAGGGCTCTGTCCTCGGTCCCCTCCTCTTCACCCTCTAAATGCTCCCCCTTGGTGACATCATCCGCAGACATGGGGTTAACTTCCACATGTATGCGGATGACACCCAACTCTACCTTTCCTCCTCTACTCTCAACTCCACGACCACCGATGTCCTGACAGCTGCCTGTCCGACATCGAGTCCTGGACGAGAGATAACTTCTCCAGCTCAACGTGCGCAAAACTGAGGCCTCCTGATTGGCTCACATCAGCGCCTCCGCACCTCAGGCACCGACAACATCAGCATCCAAGGCTGCACTCTCCACCTCTCAAAGCCAGTCAGGAACCTCGGAGTTCTGTTCGACCCTGAGCTGTCCTTTCTCCCTCATATCCGCGCCACAACTGGCACCGCCTTCCATCACCTCCGGAATGTCGCCAGACTACGGCACTACCTCACCCCTCACGCTGCTGAAACTCTGGTCCACACCTTTATCACCTCAAGGCTGGACTATGGGAACTCTCTCCTCGTCGGCCTTCCCGGCACCTCCCTCCACAAGCTGCAGGTCATTCAGAACTCTGCAGCTCGTGTACTGTCCCGCACCAGGCTTCGGGACCACATCACTCCCACCCTCGCTCGCCTCCACTGGCTCCCCATCCCCCAGAGGATCGAATTCAAGATCCTCATCCTCACCTACAAGGCCATTCACGGCCTTGCTCCCTCCTACCTCTCCGACCTACTATCCCCCTACTTACCTGCCCGTACCCTCCGTTCCTCTGGCTCCGGTCTGCTCCACATCCCCCGTCCCAACCGCCCTACCATCGGTGGCCGGGCCTTCAGCCTCTCAGCCCCTAGGCTCTGGAACTCTATCCCCCAGTGCCTTCGCCGCCTCCTCCCTTTCCTCCTTCAAAGCCGGTCTCAAGACCTTTCTCTTTGACTGAGCCTTCAGCTCCCCTCTCGACTCTCTACCCCCTCCTCGCTCCCTCCCTTCCCTCCCCTCACCCTGACCATTTCCCCCCTGCTCGGGTCCTGACCCAACTGTACAGCGCCTTGGGACGTCCTCCTGACGTGAAAGGCGCTCAATAAATGGAATCTTGTTGTTGTTGTTGTTGGGATCAGGAGAGGTGGAGGGTAAGGTGATGGGCTTCTGCTTATGCAATTTATTAGCAGGCCTTTCACATTTCTCCTTTCAAAACCGTCAGCAAAGAATATCTTTGCTACATTGCCCAAAGCTGTTAAATTAATTTTTTTCATGTAAATCTTTTAACATGTGCATTTATCGAGGATGACCTATACTCCCATCTATTTAAATTCCGTTTACATTTTTTCTAAAATGAAGTAGGAAGGTGGCCAACAGGAAAATGTAAATTGAAAATGTAAATTGAATCACTTTGATGCATTATGTTAATTGAAGCATCTTTGAGTCTTTGTGGCCGATCATGTCCACTGACATAGGAAAATTTGCAATGGATGAATATTGTAGGAAAAGATTAAGCTCAGGGTTTTAAAAGGCCAATGGAATGACTGGGAGTCGCTGACAGATGTAGGTAATCAATAGTTTGTCACGGCCAACTTGTGGGAACTCTAAAAGTTAAATCTATGTGTCTGACATAAACAGAAACCAATCATTATGCTTAATAGTATCTAAACTAGACCGAGAATTCAGTCCTGTGGAGTCTTGTAGCTCAGTGGTTAGAGCACTCGCTTTGCAAGCGAGAGACCTGAGTTCAATTCCAGGCAGCGCGAAACCTTGGGCAAGTTTCCTTACTCCACACAGAGCCTAATAATAATCCCTCCAAAACAAAACAATAATAAATTGATCATTTTCAATCCACGACTGTTTGTGGGACATTGCTGTGCGCAATTGGCTGCCGCGTTCTCCCACAAATATACAGTCCATTCACTTTACAGTGTATTCTGTGAAGCGCTTTGGGACGTCCTCCCGACGTGAAAAGCGCTATATCAAATGCAAGGATTATTATTATTATTATAATTACACACAGGTACTCCACCTGCACATGGAAATTTCTCTATGTTTAGAATAGAATGCTCCCTCTCTCTCTCTGGAGTGATGTACCCTGTTTACCTAATTCTGGAGAATATTAGGTGCATCTTGGCAAGAACCAAGGCTTGGAATGCCAGAGTGTGCGTTGGTGTACTGCTGGAATTTAACCAGCTAAAACCACATAGCTTGCCATTGATAACGCTGTCTGGCAAACTTTCCCTTTCCTTGACCAACTAAGCCCATCCTACCCGCTAGGACTTTGTCAACAGGAGCTGAGGGGAAGAATAACTGGGCCCATGACTGGTCTGTTCCTCCAAGTTCTGCTGATATGCCAGACTAGCTAATAATAATAGTACTTTCATTTGATATAGCGCCTTATCACATCTTCAAGATATCTCAAAATGTTTCAGAGAATACACTGTAAAGTGAATTGACTATATTTTTGTGAATGAAAGGCCCTAGTCTGTCATCAGCAGTGCCCTGCAATACTGCGGACCCGTCTGGCTCAGGAATCAAACTACAAGACCGCCACAGAAGGTTGGCTCAATTTTGACATTCTGTTGCCAACGATGTCACCTTGAAACCAAGGAGATAATGTCACAAAGATTTCCAATTTTGTAGGAAATTGCAGTATGAAGCACTTCCAGATTCCTTAGTTAATTCCTTAGCCTGTTTGAAATCGCTATGTTTTAGACCCTAACAGTCATCTAGATTTAATTACAGTCAGAACTGAGTCATTTAATGATTTATCATGTTTTCTGATTATGCTATTGAAAGTTCATTTTCTGTTGCATTTGTCAATTTGTAGTGCATTACACTTAATGGAAAAGAATCCATTAACAGATAGGAGAACAATTATTCAAATACTGAGCCCAGATTCTCCAGCAGAAAAATTAGGTGACGTAATGAGATTCTCCCAATGCGGAATCTTTGACGCCACCAATGTGTTCATTTATCAGCTGAGAAATGTGCCAGCACTATTTTAAAAAATGATTGACAAGTGTTTGCTTGATATTCTTAAATATGTCTTGATGTGCAAAAATGACTCAGTTGTTTCGTTAGAAGTTTACAGATGAACCTTTTATAGAAAATACATTCTGACAATAATTGAGTGGACGTGCTTGCACTTAATAAACCTTGCATTTGATATTATGTCTTAATGCTGGGAGGTCACCCCAATGAGCCTCACAGGATTTTACTGTTCTGTCTGCCTGTTCAAGTGGATGTTAAAGATTCCATGGCACTGTTCGGAAGGAGAAGAGACTTTGTCCCAGGCTCTTGCCCAACAATTCCCCAAAATAAAATTTGTCATTTACTTTGTGGCTTCATGGTTTATGGGACAAATGGACTGCCGCATTTGCCTACAAATATGGGCAAATTCCACTTCATAGAAAAATCCCGTGAAGAGCTTTGAGATGCCCTCTTGACATGAAAGCATTATTGTCCTTATTAATAATAGAATTATTCTAAAATATTTTTTGATCATGACGGTACCTGTAAGAAACGTAACAAAATGGTAAAGATACTGTAGATGGGAGCAGAGGTGGTCTCAACTATCTGTGCTCTTGGTTCTGCAGTTAGAATGGAGTTGGTCATTTTTTTATTTTTTTCACAAATACTGTTGTCAAGGGTTAATCTGTTGCACATTTTAACTATGGTTTTCTTATTGCTAATAACATAGGGCGGCTCTGCACACAACTGCAGCTCATGACTCGTGAGCGCGCTGCTCGTCTGATTAAAGAATTGACGAACATTTGCTGGCCTGGTAGAGAGATGTCTGTCCAATGGTATCCAGGCCACCCAGAGAGGAGACACCCACCTATTTCATGGCTGCCTACAGTATGGAGATACCTGTACCACAACTTCTCTGAAGATCTCACTCCATTTGAGGAATTGCCACTGATACCAAAGAAGCCTTTGGATGAAATGCAGAGAACAGTCGAGCTTTTACGTGTCCGATCTCCATCTCCCATCATACTAGAATTTGAGAATGAATCCCAGCTTCCTGAACTGCTACCAGAGATCATTGAGAAACTGGGTGGAGTTGCCATTAAGCAACTAGACCCGTGCTTGCAGCACCCTCTTCTGAAAAAGTACATTCACTCTCCTCTGCCAAGCACCGTGTTGCAGATCATGGATAAGGCAACACCGCAAAAGATCTGCAGTCAGGTGGTGTCGCTACCTCCAAAACACAAGGGGGCATTGAGAAGCTTCTTGGCTAGTTTACCAGAAGCATTTGAGCGAGACAAAAAACTTCTTCAGGAACTGATGATCTTTAATAAGGTTGAACCGACTTTGGAGAAAAGATGTCGGAGTTTTACTGCATTAAAAGGAAGTAAAGTCTTGCATCACACCGCAAAGCTGCCTCCAGATGTGCGTCTCTCCGTGCCAGTGATAAACTGCAGCGACGAGGCTTCGATTCGACTGGTTACCATGCTGAAAATGGAACAGTTAAAAAGTACAGACTGCCTGAAGATCATACTGCAAGACATTGGAAAAGGTTTCTACTCTAGTAAGGAAGTTATAGATATTATGATTTGGGTTCTCACCAATTTATCTTTCCTTAGAGATGAAAACGCATCTGTGATCGAATGGCTGAAGAGCTTGAAATTCATTCTTACTTTTCTGGGAAGATTAGTGTCAGCCAGTGAATTGTTTGATCCCGAAGTGGAAACACTACAGGATTTGTTTTACGCTGATGAAAAGATTTTCTTTCCGCCAGATGTGTTCACGTCGGCTCCAGACGCCCTGCATGCACTGAGACAAATAGGCTTGAAGGGTGAGGATCAGCTAAGCGAGAAAGATATTGTGCAAGTGGCCAAGAGAATTGAAGAACTGCAGAGCAGTGGGAAAGTGAAGCAAGACATAGTTATAAGAAAAAGTAAAATGTTACTAACGGTTCTTCACAGACAAAACAAATTAGTAATATCAACCGAAACGAAGGCGGCTTTGCAGAAGTTAAAATGGGTTCCCGTTTGCAAGGTGCGACCTTTGAATTATCCTCAATCCCTTGCTTGGAAGGGAGACTCGCTAAACTTGCACAAACCGTGTGAAATGCGAGATGTATCTGATGCCGTATTGGTGGGCTCTGCAGTAACTCTCGTGGAGAACGTCTCGTTACAAGTTCGGAAATTATTGGGGTTTTCCGCTGAGCCCAGTTTGAAGAGCGTTCTAGAGCACTTGAAGAATGTTGTGGATTGGCATATTTCCAAGGCTTTCAACAAAGACGAGTGGTACCAGTTTCAACATTTCCTACTTGAAATCTATGACTACATGCAGAGGCATCTGGAGAAGGACAGAGACCTGTTCAAATCCTTGACATTTCCCTGGGTATGGACGGGGAAGGTCTTTTCTGTGCCCATACAAGTGGTAATCATGCCAATAGAAGATCTTGACTTAGAGCCTTACTTGTACACTCTTCCAATAACCATGTCAAAGTACCGCAAGCTGTTTACCTTCTTCGGAGCAATAGAACAAGTAAACGCCGAACACACGTTTAGTATTATCAATAGCATCAAACAGAAGAGTGATGGCAAAATCAGTGAACACGAAAGTAAGCAAAACTTACTTCTGCTACTGAATATCTTAAGATGGCTGCACAGCAATCAGATTAAAGTTAGCCTTGACACCCCGATACCCATTCATTGCAGTAGAGATCCCGGCAGGTTAGTGATGGAGCCGATTAATAAGTGCAGCTACTGTGACATCAAAGTGGACGACTTGAGCGACTTGCTTGATGATTCCTTAGAGCCCATCAACCTGGTCCACGAGGACATCCCTATGAAGATGGCTCAAGCTCTACAAGTGCCATGTCTTAGCACCAGGCTCATTAACCCAGAGAATCTGGGCTTTGAGCAGTCGGGCCAAAGGGAGCCGCTCACAGTACGAATCCGAAATATTCTCGAGGAATATCCGTCGGTTTCGGACATCTTTAAGGAGCTGCTGCAGAATGCTGACGATGCTGGGGGAACCGAGTGCAGCTTCCTGATCGACATGCGGAGGAACATGGATATTCGGGAAAACCTTCTGGATCCTGGGATGTCGGTGTGCCATGGCCCTGCTCTCTGGTCATTCAATGACTCCGGCTTTGCAGACACCGACTTTGTCAACATAACTAGGCTCGGAGGATCGGTCAAGAGGAGCGAGGTTGACAAGGTCGGGAAATTTGGGCTGGGTTTCAACTCCGTCTACCACATCACCGACATTCCCATCATTCTGAGCCGAGAGTTCATGATCATGTTCGATCCCAACATCAGCCATTTAGAAAAACACATCCGTGACAAATCGAATCCCGGAATAAAGATCAACTGGAACAAACACCAGAAGAGGTTGAGGAAGTTCCCCAATCAATTCAGGCCATTTGTAAACGTTTTTAACTGTAATTTACCGCTCACGGTCGAGATGCCTTTTAGCTACTCAGGAACTCTGTTCAGACTTCCCTTCAGAACAGACGAAGAGGCAGCCATCAGTGAAATCAGCAGTGTTTCTTACAGCACAGCGGATATTTATTCTCTTGTGGATGAGTTTAGCTTGTGTGGGCACAGGCTGATCCTGTTCTCTCAGAATGTGAACACAATGTACCTAAAATACTTAAAGTTGGATGAGCCTGATCCCAGCTTAGCTCAGAACACCATTGCTATCAAGAAAATGCTTTGCTCCTCAAAGGTCGTGACTACACCCATGAACATCTTGAAGGAGGCCGCAAAACTGATGAAGACACTCACGAGCACAAGGCAGCTTCCCTCGGAAGCCCCTCGATGTGCCTGTATAGTGCAGATTGTGGTAGAGGAATTCCTAGAGGTGTTCAGGCGATTTGTGGATCTTCAGTCTCCGCTGTTCAAAGGTCCGGAGGATGAGCCGACCCCTTTCTTTGAGGATTTTGCCAAATTGCCTCAGACCATGAACGTGGACGAAGAGTTAGGACAAAAGCTGACTGAATCTAGCACTTGGCTTATATGCTCGTGCATGGACACTGGCGAAGCACTTAAACTTTCACTGCTAGAAAGTGGGCAGAGATTAGGGCTCGTCCCCTGTGGCGCCATTAGTGTATTGCTCTCGGAATTGGAAGACAACAAATGGACCATAATGACAAATAATAGTGCTTACGGAGAGGTCTTCTGCTATTTGCCTTTGAGGATCAAAACTGGATTACCCGTGCATATCAATGGCTGCTTTGCAGTTTCATCCAACCGGAAGGAGATCTGGAAAACGGACACGAAAGGCAGGTGGAACACAGTGTTCATGAGACACGTGATTGTGCAGGCGTATTTGGAAGCTCTCATGGTGTTGCGAGACATGGTTGTTAACGAAGAGCTTGTTGATTACATCTATTACTCTGTCTGGCCTGACCCCACCCTGGTTCACGATGACTTTGCCGTGATATGGCAAGGTCTGTACGAGGACATCGCAAAAGGAAGAGGGAGTGATCTGGCCGAGGTGTTTTCAGATGGAACGTCATGGGTTTCCATCAAAAACATCCGATTTCTAGATGATGCTTTGCTGAAGAGGCCAGTAGTTGGACCAGTGGCTTTCAAGATCCTCTTGCAGTACCTCAAAAAAGCTGATCCACTGCCCTTGTGTGCCGTTCAGCTCCCTTCCTGGGTCAAATCAGGGTTTGAAGATGCAGGGTGTAAGCATATACTGCAGCAGAACACTTTCTATGAGAAGCAGTTTTTCACTGAGGTCTTCTTTCCCTACATTGAAGAGGTTGAAGCTGAACTTCGCGACCCGCTGATGCTTTATGTGCTTGATGAAAAGGTGTTGGAACTTTCCGGATTTCTGCGTGTTACCCACTGCGTGCCGTCCTCAGGAGAGCACCATCAGTTGGCTCTGCCATCGAGGCTCATCCACCCAGAGGGCCGGGTTGCCAAGCTGTACGAGGTGAGTGATGGACGGTTCCCCTATGGGACGATGCAGGATTACCTGAACCCAGTGCGTTTGGTGAAGCTCCTACAGCTCGGTATGATTAAGGATGATATTTCGTGGGAGGATTTACTGGAGCGTGCAGACTCGGTGAAGGAGCTCAGTAAAAGTGATCACGCATCAGCCTGCCTCCGAAGCAGCATTATACTGAGTCTGATCGATGAGAAACTCAAGTTTAGGGACCACAGAACCAAGGATTTTGCCGAAAAGTTTCAGTCTATATCTTTTCTGCCATTTCTCAAAAAGCCACCAGGATTTTGCTTGCCTTGGAATGGAAGCGAATATCCACCTGAAACCATGTTTCCGTCCAAGGAGGTTTTTTCAGTTGAATACCAGGATGTAGTTTGCCTTCTGCATCCAATTCTAAATGAAAACCCTCCTACTAAAGGATGCGGAGCCTTGCCTGTAGCTGTTAAAGATTTCTTGGGCTTATTAAAGAAACCGCCCGTTCTTCTGGTGTTAAATCAACTGAAGAAAGTGGCTTCTTCATTTGAAGGCATCACCCTGTGCCAAGAGAGTATCACGAATGCTTGTTACAAGTACCTTCATGAAGCCATGCTAAAGAATGAAGCTGCAAAGCTACAGATCAATGAGGAACTTCAGAACTTTAACTTTGTCCTGGTGGAAAACACCTACGTAAATTCAGCAAAAGTTGCTTTCCACCTGAATTTTGATGCGACTCCATACCTCTACCAGCTCCCCAATAAATACAGGAACAATTTTCGGGAGTTATTTGATAAGCTCGGAGTCCAGTCCTCTTTCACCGTTGAAGACTTTGCGAAGGTCCTTGAAGTTTTAAAAGATGAATGTGCCAGGAACCCCTTAAGTGAGACTAACTTTCAGCTTTGCCGAAGAATCATAAGCGAAGGAGTGTGGGGTCTGATTCGGGAGAAAAATCGAGACTTCTGTAAGAGAAAATATGGAATGCTTCTGTTACCAGATAGCGAAGCGTCCCTGGTTCCAGCCAAATCTCTGTGTTACAATGATTGCCCTTGGATCAGAGTCAGCGATAAAACTGTGAAGTACTGTCACCCTGATATCCCGAGAGAGGTAGCTGTCAAACTTGGAGCACTTCCAAAGCGGCACAAAGCTCTGGAGCGCTACGCTTCCAATATTTGCTTTGCCCCACTCGGCAGTGAATTCGGACAGAAAGAGAAACTGACCAGCAGGATCAAGAGTATTCTTAACGCTTACCCGTCTGAGAAAGAAATGCTGAAAGAGCTGCTTCAAAATGCAGATGATGCAAAAGCCACAGAGATCTACTTTATCTCTGACTCTAGAGACCATCCAGGGGATAGAATCTTTGATGAGAAGTGGGCACCCCTTCAGGGCCCTGCACTCTGTGTGTATAATAACCAGCCGTTCACGGAGGATGATATTAGAGGGATACAGAATCTTGGTAGAGGGACAAAAGAAGGGAATCCAGGTAAGACTGGGCAGTACGGGATAGGATTTAATTCAGTGTATCACATTACAGATTGCCCTGCCTTTATCTCTGACAATGACACACTGTGCATATTTGATCCCCATGCAAGATACGCTCCAGGATCCACCAATGTTAGCCCAGGTCGCATGTTTAGAGATTTAGATTCAGATTTCCGAACCCAGTTTGCTGATGTACTGAGTCCATTTCTGGGTAATCTTTTCAAAATGGAAAATGCAACTATGTTTAGATTCCCTATACGGAATTCTGAAATGTCCAAAATCTCGGAAATCTCCCCGGTGCCGGTTTCAGATAAGATGGTCCAGAATCTTCTGGACAAACTGCGTAGCGACGGGGCTGAACTCCTCATGTTTCTAAATCACATGGAGAAAATTTCCATTTGTGACATCGAGAAGACAACTGGCAACCTGAAAGTTTTGTATTCTGTGAAGGCCAAGATTACGGAGGGTGACAGGTTGAAACGCAAGCAGTTCCATGCGTCTGTGCTCGACAGTGTGAATAAAAGAAGACAGCTCGGTCAGATACCAGTTCAACAAATCACTTATACTATGGACATTGAAGATTCTGAGGGCAACCTCACAACCTGGCTGGTCTGCAACAGATCGGGTTTCCCGAACATGGACAAAGTTTCGAAGACAGTCATATCGGCTCATAAAAATGAAGACATAACTCTGTTTCCTCGAGGAGGGGTTGCGGGTTGTATTAGCCACAATTACAAAAAGCCCTTTCGAGCTTTCTGCTTCTTACCACTGTCGCTGGAGACGGGACTGCCTATCCATGTGAACGGACACTTTGCCTTGGATTCGGCCAGGAGAAATCTGTGGCGGGATGACAACGGTGTTGGATTGCGCAGCGACTGGAACAATAACCTCATGACGGCGCTGATATCGCCGGCTTACGTGGAACTACTCGTTCAGATACGGAAGCGCTACTTTCTTGGTTCTGACCCTACGATAACTGTCCTCCAAAATACACCCAATCATCTTTTGAAGGATATAGTAAAAAAATATCTGACCTTCTTCCCCGTCAACAAGCTTGACATCCAGCCAGATTGGTTCTGCCTCGTGCGGTCCCTTTACTGTTGCCTTCATGAAGATCTCAAGCGTCTGCTACCAGTGGTGCGGATACCAAATGCAGACAGTGGAGAATTGCATCCTACGATTTTTATTTCCTGGATCAATACATCTCCTAATCGAAACAGACCATTCTTTGATAATTTGCTCCAAGATGAACTGCAGCACATGAAAAGCACGGAGTACAATATTGCAGTCCGCAAGACCATAGCAGAAAATGTTTACAGGCTCAAGAATCTGCTGCTCGACATAGGATTTAACTTAGTATACAGCTCCGAGGAGACTGCCAACATTTATCATTGCTTTCAAGAATCAGGGGTTCCAGTGGACTATGTGGCACCTTCTGACGTCCGCGAGTTCTTACACTCTTTTACTTCCCCCGATTCAAGCTGTCATCTCGGAAAGCTGCCTTGTCGATTGCAACAGACTAGCCTGAAGCTATTCCACAACTTGAAGCTACTAGTTGACTACTGCTTCAAGGATTCGGAAGAGAACGAGATTAGAGTGGAAGGGCTCCCTCTGCTCATTACCCTGGACAATGTTTTGCAAGTTTTCGATACCAAGCGCCTAAAGTTTCTGACGACCTACCATGATCTGATCCCTTCCCGGAAGGACCTGTTCATGAACACCCTTTATATGAAGTACAACAACATTCTGCTCAACTGTGGGGTTGCAAAGGTTTTTGATATCAGTAGTTTTGCAGAGCTGCTGGCCTCCGTCCTGCCCAGGGAATATAGGACAAGGTCTGTTGTGAAATGGAAGGACAATTTTGGAAGTGAGTCTTGGCTGAAAAACTGCTGGCATTTTATTAGCGATGCAATTTCAGTCAAGGAAGGCCAGACGGAGATTAGACCTACCTTTGAAACAATTGTTGAAATATTAAAAGACTGGGCTTTGCTGCCTGGAACAAAATTCACCGTCTCCAGTAATCGAATACTAGTACCAGAGACTGACGTTTTGGTGCCTCTCAGTTTAATGCATGTCCCTATCTACCCAAATGTTCAAAATGACAAAGTCTTCAACACACTGATGAAAGCTGGATGCATTCAGCTAACAGTGAGCAAAATTTGCCCAAAAGAGCACATTTTAGTCTCGCTGCTGGCTTCGCGTTTGGCAAATGTTGAGAGCCCTAAGAGCATCCTGAACTCTCTTGAGCACATGATCCGAGCAGCAACCCTCAGGATGGATCACCTAACGGACAGTGACTTTGACGTTCTTCTGATGTATTTCAACAGCAACTTGAATCAGCTGACAAACCAGGATGACAGCAAGGTCCTGAAGTCTTTGCCTTGCTTTAAGACCATTAATGGCAGCTACATCAGCACTGCAAAATACGGTTCGTGCTTTGTTCTGACAAAGAGCATTCCATCAGCTGAAATAGACAAGTGGGCGCTTTCCAGTTCCTTTGCATTTCTTGCTGACAACCCTCATCTGAAGGAACTATACACTTTTCTCGGGTGCACTCCTGTCGATGACCTTGAGGTCTACTTGAAGTACTTACTTCCGAGGTTTGACAATCTTTCTAATGAAGCCAAGATTGACCATCTAGTCCACTTAAAGAAGAGGCTTTCCAACTTGGATGAAGGTTCGACAATCAGACACCAGCTCTTTGAAAAGCTTGAAGGTCTTGCAGTTATTTCAGACTCCTTCAGCCGCCTCAAACCAGCAAAGAATTTCTATGACCGAACAGAGAATGTTTTTGAAGTCATGTTGGCGGAAAATGCTTTCATTCCTCAGGATTTTTTTCGGAAGCTCGAGCAGGTGGAAAAGCCTAAAAACCGTGCAACATTCCTCACGTCATGGATAACCTTCCTTAGGAATATAGGACTGAAACACACCATCTCTCAGCAGCAGTTGCTACAGTTTGCCAAGGAGGTGGGAATTCGGGCTCAGGCAGAGAAATGGTCTAAGACGACAATACAGAACAAGGTTGACGTTCTCTTAAATCATATGTTTCAAGAGAGGAGTGACTTATGCACGGGAAATTTCCTTAAAGACCTGTCATTGATTCCCTTCATCTACCCTGAACGTGCACCTGCAGAGCTGGTGAAACTGCACCTACAATACCAAGATGTAAATGGGATACTTCCTCTGATCCGGTTCAGCGGGGCTGAGGTCAATCCCAAATTCAAGCAGACTGATGTAATGCAGCTTCTATGGACATCGTGCCCTATCCTGCCCGAGAAGGCAACGCCTTCCACTATTAAGGAGCAAGAAGGGAGCAACCTCGGAGCCCAAGAACAAGTAGAAGAAGTCTTGACAATGCTAAACGTCAGCCTGGATCCACCTCTGGACAAAGTCATAAGTAACTGCAAAAACATCTGTAGCATTCCATCTCCAGATGATGACATGGTGAAAACCAGGGTTAAAGTGTTGAGGAGCACATATGAGTTTCTTAATGCAGAAAAAAAAGACTTTCAACTATTCCTCCGAGGGGTTGCATTTGTTATGGTTGAAGATGGTTGGAAACTGCTGAAGCCTGAAGAGGTGGTGATAAATCTTGAGAATGAGTCTGATTTTAAACCTTACCTATATAAGCTGCCTTTAGACCTTGGCACCTTTCACCATGTATTTAAACTTCTGGGTACGGAAGATGTTATTTCAATTAAGCAGTATGTTGAGGTCCTGAGTCGTATATTTAAGATATCCGAAGGGAAGCAGCTGGAACCAAATGAAATGCGTACAGTCAAAAGGGTGGTTTCCGGTCTTTTTAAAAGCATTCAGAATGAACCGGTAAAGGTGAGGAACGACCTCGACAATGTCCGAGATTTAGGTCTTTACCTTCCCAGTCATGATGGGAGGTTAACAAAATCCAACATATTGGTTTTTGATGACGCACCGCATTATAAGAGCCGTATGCAAGGTAATGTGGGGGTTCAGATGCTTGTGGATCTGAGCCAGTGTTATCTCAGTAAGGACCATGCTTTCCATACTAAGCTAATCATGCTGCTCCCTTCAAAGTTGAGGCCACGGCTCCTTAGCAGTATCTTGGAAGAGATTCTGGATGAAGAAACGCCCAGGATGTGTCAGTTTGGAGTACTGTGTTCACTGCAGGGACGCCTTCAGCTCCTGCTCTCCTCGGAACAGTTCAGCACTGCTCTCGTCCGGATTATGAAGCACGAGAATGACAATACCTACCTAGCCAATGAGGAGAAAGCCACTCGACTGTGCAAATCCTTGCGTGAGGGTTTGAAAGTTTCTTGTTTTGAGAAACTGCAGACCAGCCTACGAGTGAAAGGATGCAACTCAATCCCAAACAGCAAGAGCGAGACATTGGCATTCCTCAAAAGATACGGAAACGCAGTGATACACCTCTATATCCAGCACTCAGAGAGCAAGGATATCAATTTCCTTTTGGCTCTAGCAATGACCCTTAAATCTGCTACTGACAACTTGATCTCAGATACCTCCTATCTGATAGCTGTGCTTGGCTGCAATGATATTTATAGAATCAATGAAAAGCTAGACAATCTAGGAGTGAAGTATGATTCTTCCACTGAGCCTTCAAAACTTGAGCTGCCTCTGCCTGGGACACCTATACCAGCTGAAATCCATCACCTGCTCCTCATGGATCCATTGAATGTCTTCTATCCAGGAGAGTATGTAGGTTATCTTGTTGATGCTGAAGGAGGTGATATATATGGTTCCTATCAACCAACCTACACCTATGCCATCATTGTTCAAGAAGTAGAAAGAGAAGGAGATGAGAACTCTAGCTTTCTGGGAAAGTACTTCCAAATTGACATTGGTTACAGTGAGTATAAAATTGTGAGCTCCCTTGATCTGTACAAATTTTCTAGACCTGATGAAAGCTCCCAAGGGAGAGACAGTACACCCACCACTCCGACAAGTCCCACGGAATGCCATTCGCCTGGGCCCAGGATGGTTCCACCTCATTTTCCTGGAAGAGAAAGCCACAGAACATTACCTTCAAAGCACCACTCTCCAAAGAAGATCAAGCTACATTCTTTGCCTGAGATCCTTCGAGAGGTGACAGCTGTATTGGAGCAGGCTTGGAGGCTCCCAGAATCAGAGAGGAAAAAGATTATAAGACGGCTGTATCTCAAGTGGCACCCCGATAAAAATGCGGAGAACCTGGAGATAGCAACGGAGGTTTTCAAGCACCTGCAAAATGAAATCAACAGGTTAGAAAAACAAGGTATTGTAGGTCCTGATTACACAGATAGGACAACGAGAAGGACATATTCCTCCTCATCTGCTCGCTTCCAGTCGGAGAAATTTTCATTTCAGAGATTTTATACATCCTGGAATCAGGAAGCAACAAGCCATAAGTCTGAGAGGCAGCACTTTAAAGGAAGGTTTACTTCGACATCGGGATCTTCACACTCTTCGCGATTCTTTGTGCCTCCGACCTTCAAATCTGTGGGCAATCCCATCGAGGCACGAAGATGGCTCAGACAAGCTCGAGCAAACTTCTCTGCCGCTAGGAATGACCTCCATAAAAATGCCAATGAGTGGGTGTGCTTCAAATGCTACTCGGCAGCAAAGCTTGCTTTGATAGCGGCTGAGTACTCGGTGAAGGGAAAGTCTGACAAGGATGTCAGGCCGACTGCACTCGCACATAAAGTAGAGGAATACAGCCATAGCCTGGCAGGGCTCGGAAATGATGTGAGCATTTTGGAAGCTTATGGTGTGGACGGATTGAGAACCCAGTTTCCTGACCTCCTGCCTTTCCCTTTTATTCCAAATGACAAGTACACCACTGACGTTGCAATGAGAGTGATGGAGTGCACTGCTCGGATCATTATAAAACTTGAAAATTTCATTCAGCAAAAACTATAGGGTCACATTCGGTTATATTAGTAAATACCTTAACTCCCATCAGGCAAATAGTTCAATGTCATTTCACTCCCATCCATTCCAAGAGTCAGTGCAATCAAAACCATTTCAAATTTGGAATGCTAGATCCTTGAGGTAATCTACAGTTCATTCCCCCTTTAACTTCTTCACTGATGAATGTTAAAGAACATGAAACTAATAGCACTCAAAAGAGAAACCTGCAACTGGGAAGCATAGTGCCATATTACAATGATGAGGACATTACTAAAAAGAGCAAAGTTTAAGGTTGGCAGTGCCATCTTAAGCAAAGCAGTGTATTACAATTCCTTTAGAGCACATCATTCACTTCAATAGTACTGAACATAATGTCCTTTTAAAGCAGCGAAAATATTTTTCTTTTCAAAATATACTTACTAAATAGTCTTTGTTTTGCAAGCTGCAAGTATTTAGCTGCTGTTAGAAAATAAATTGCAAATCAAATGGCTTTAGTCATTTCAAAGCGGCTTAAGAAGAATTAGACTTCCTGCTAGGTCATCTCGGTACAGAGCTGTCACTCTGGCAATGGCTTTGGTGCAGATTACTTACTGTAACTAATTAAATGCCCCACAAAATCTGCAAATGTTCTTTTGTTACATTCAAACTCTTCAATTATAAGGAATACACAAAGAGGATCCAAAACAAATTAAATCTGATTCAGTATCAAAAGTAGGTATTTTTAGAACAAAGAGCTATTTCATATCCTGCCCAATTTGGCAGTCATTACATCTGCCATTACTGCCATCTGCTAGGGACTACTGATAAATCTGGATCCATTGTTTAGCTATCAAAATTAAAAGAAAAATTGAAAAGATGTCTGTGCATGTCATGAATGTCTGTTTCCATGACAATTGCGCTTTTCTTGCGCAATAGTATTTGAGCAAACGCATTCTCTCACCGTTCACTCATTGGTTTAATTCTCCTTTGGAAATTTGCACATATTTGGCCCTTTGACTTGTCGGCACAGCTGTTTATTTATGTATTTATTTATTTATTACACCGGCAGGAACAAGGGTCTTTGTGGAGGGCATTTTAAGCTCTGTTAACCTTTAAGCAAAAATGAATACTGTGTTAGTGTCTTGATGCAACCAGTGCATGATGCAAGTGAGCCTCTTCATGCAACATGTGATGAATTATGGTTGAACCTTGTGAATGGATGTTTGCCAGAGTATCTTCATTGGCTGGAGCACTGCATCCCAGTGCAAAGCTAGCGCATTGCTGCTGGAATTCCACAACTGTCCCTTTTTAAAAATAGATGAGCTTACATTACATAGTTTTAATGCCTTAAACACAAGTAGCCAATAATAACTTGAAGCAGGTTAATTACGACAGTTGAGCTAATCGTGCTCCTGTTTTACATGCTGGATGGGGATGGGGTGGGAAGGATTATTTTCTGTAATGCTTGTAATTGAACTTTCAATAGCCGATACCGTGCAAATAGGACTTTTTGCCTAATATATACAATAGAAATCCTGACACTATCCATTCATAAATGGGCCTGGATCCAAACATTGGACTTCAGTGACATATTTCACACCATAGTTTTAAAGATTGAATGAGATGTTAATGATCTGTTGCAGGTTTGAAACTTGAAAGTGCTATTTAAATGTTGAATGAAAACAAATTTCACATTATATGTGTCACAGTGCAATATTTTTGTTTTTAAAGATTTTTAAGTACTTTCTAATATTGATAGTTCTTAAATACTTAAGTCACTGGCTTCACAATGTGGCCTAACAGACACACCTAGTCCTGTCTATCTCTGCATGTCATTTTCTTAGTCAATGTATTATGTAGACATGGTGTATTCAATGTATTTTTAGTTTTCCTTTTCAAATTGCTATACTTTATTAGTGAAATGTTGGAGGTGCTAATCTTTAAGGCACTTTTTTTAAATGTGTTTCAGTTGTCAATAGTGTGTTCTCAATAATGTATGTTTCCGATTTTGTGTTTAAAATTTTTTTAGTTTTATATATGAATTAGCCATTTATTTGGCATGCCAGTCCATTCTTTCTGAAACATTTAAATGGTGCAGCACTTTCTTACCCCAGCTTCAAATACTGCTCAGACAAGTTTGCTGAAACATGACTAATTTGCTTCCCTTGTTCAAACAGAGAGAGGGAGAGAGATAAAAAGCTGCTGAACACATTTCCTTTAGTGTTACAATATTTAAGCATGTGAATCATTTAACATTCAGTCACTGCATTGCGGAATTTGACAGTGTTTCACACATAGATATCAACAGCCCCACCTTTGCTGGGAAAGTGCTAGTGCTAACTTTGGGTTCTATTATGCACTATGTGTAAGAGACAGCTGTATTTTGTGCTGTAGTGCCCCCCCCTCTCTGCCCACAAAAAACACCTTCAAAGCTATCTCTTTGACCATAATTTCAGCCACCAATCCCCCTGCCCACAAACTAATCTCAGGCTCCCAGTCAGTTGTGTGAAGCACTTTTGAGACATTCTCCCAATGTGAAAAGCACTACATGAATGTAAAGTGTTATTATGTGTAAGAACAAATGCAGAGAAGTTATGTCATTAACAAAGAATTCTTCCATTGATGTTGATTGCATAATCAAGGGCACATGCAGTTCCCTCTATACACCTGTTTATACATGGTGCATATTATGCTCTTGTATCTCTAGGCTTCTTCTAAAAAGGACCCTGTGGGATTCAAGGGTGTGAAATGAGGAGGCAGCTCTTATTGACATCTCAAACTACCACCGATTTGGCAGTAAATTGGAAAAATCTGACTCATTGTGGGTGCATGAGAGCTGGTTTGGGAAATAGAAGGTGTCTCACTGGTGTGGGAGGGTGTGTTATGAGGTTAGGGCCAAGCACAGGGGGGGAAGCTTTACTCTGCATGCAACTATATTACAGCTGACACGGGAGTGCTTAATGCTGCCACTTTGTGCCCCGAATGTTCCATCTTTCAGCGTCAATATTTCTCACTTTAATGAGCACAAGAATCTCAAAAAAACTTTTAAAAACACCTTTTTATATATATAAAAAAAGTTTTTTCACTCAAAACTGAGAGACAAAGTGGTTGTAATGATAGGGAAGAGATTAAGATCTTTGCCTAAGCACAACGGTTACTAACACTCTGATATAAAAGGTAGTGACCTTGACAGTCTGTACGTGTAATAATATTTCCCCATTGTGATAACAGCTTGAATTTATATAGTGCCTTGCATGCAGGATAGGGTCTCGGAGTGCTGCATAATGGATCCTGATCATGGAAGAAGGAGGAGTGGGTGGTCTTAAATTGGAATATAAAGAAGGGGAGAGGTGGAGGAAATGAGGCAGGGGATTGTAAATCCAAACTGTTAGTCGCTATACTTAGTGACATGTGGAATATCTCACTGAATGTTCCATTAAAGGGGAATTAGCCTTTTCCATACTCGGTGGACCTGTGAATCACACACTCACTTCATGCACAGAACATTTGTTGTACTTCACTAGTCTTTCTTCTGGGCAATATGTTAGAGCATCTCTGTAAAAACAGTGTTAATGTTGACAACAATGGCTTCAGGAATGTGTGATCCATGCTGGGAGTGTTCAAACACAGAAACGATTGTGAAAGCTGTCATATTTTTGACATTTATCGGTTGATTTTTTTGCCATCCAGGTACATCGTACACTTGTCTCATGTAGCATAATCCATCAGAGTTTATTTCACTCTTGTGTATATTTGACAAAATCCCTGCTGCAAGACCTTGGTGTGATACTGACTAGCAACTAATAGATTGTGCAAAAGCTGCTGTAATAAGAAGTTATGCGTTTTAAAAGAATGGTTCTAGCACTGCTTGTGAATTCAGAGCTTTGTCGCTCTGTCTGCTGATGTACCAAGTATCACAACTAAAATAAAGCAAGTTCATTACACTGATGTTCTATTATTGTCGCTCGCAAGATAACAAAATCAAGGAAACATACAGCACTTTGTAAATGTGATTATCTTGTAAGTCAACTTCTCAGTTCTACTCCTATTTCTGTCAACTAAAGACAAATAGTGTATGATTAAGCATGTATGTTGCTAGCATGTTTATCCCCCAGTGGTGAATGACAGAGGCAGATGTCTGTGATAGTTCGCCCTAACTCAATGCAAATTCCTCTTCCGTTGTGCTCACTTTCCATCTATACCTGAGTTGTGCTCACACCGAAAGCATATTTTGAAAACAAAATTTCTACCTTTTTCAATACTTGCTGATAGAAAGTTCAACCGCTTATTCAGACTGCAACGTCTCGTTCTTCTAACTTTCTGTGTAAAACTATTGACCCATGTCAATGCTTCTGACAAGATTGTAACTGCTACGTAGTTAAGTGAATATTTTGCAATTTTAAGGTTTCAAATTTTGTTCCCAGTTTAGTATAAAGTACATGTGTTCAACTTGCAGGTTTCTTTAATTATAAACCTCTTAAGTTCTGCAGTTCATGACGAAGTTCAGTTTATTCAAAATAAGTTTTTTTTAGTTTAGCGAAAATGGATTTTTAAACCTTTAACCTCACTTTTTTAATCAAACTTATTTATATTGAGTATTTAGTGGCAATTCACCACTAAAGAAAATTATAGGTTGGGTAAAGCATGAGGAGCCCTTCAGAACAGAACATATTGCAAAGTTGGTTTTGACTAAACAATAAATACAGCGGGTGCAAATCAACTCTTCTCAGAGTTTGCGTCTTATAAATTCACTGGATGGCTAGGGTAGTAGCTTTTCCCTAACATGATGCTGTCTCTTGTTGGGTTCAAGGAAATAAAGTACTCTACCTCAACATAAGTATATATTCTTCATGTGTAAGTTTAGACAGTGGGAGCTTAAACCATGTAGGGCAAGACAGCAAAGGCTGATTGTATCCTCACTTGATATATCTATGCACGTGCCAGCAGAGATCATTCATTAAAAGCAGAAACGCTGGCTGTTATTGCTACCTCTCTTGTCCATGTAAACTGAAGCCAAATGTAACAACTCTACAACTGTTCTGCTGAGATCTATTAACTCAGCACAGATTGGGGATCCAAGCAGGTTTGACACAATGGGATGCTAAATTGTTCCGTTATCATTTTCTATAATCAAATTTACACGACTCAAAAGTGAATTGATCTCCATCGTTATCTTTGGCATCTTCTGCTGAGTGATTCATTTTAGCTGCGTGCTAGTTCAACTCACATTCAAGCCAACTAAAGTCAAGACAGTTCCCCCCCATGATCTAACCAATCCTCATTGTGGTAACACTTTTTTCGAACACAGTGACTTCTCTTTTCAGATAGTGCCATAAGATCTTTAACCATCATCTGAACAGCCAGACGGGACCTCGGTTTAACAACTCACCTGAAGGACGATACCTCCAATAATACAGTTCATTTGTATCTAAGTGTCAGCCGAGACTGCGTTCCAGACCCTG